CCCTCCAAACCTAATGCTAAACGTCGACGAGACATCAATTGTCTCTCTGATGCCTCAGAAGCTCTCAGATCTCGTAATCAGCGCCGAGTGCTACCTTCGCCGAGTTTATCCGTCCGGCTTGAGACTGAACTCGAGCAACCTGGACCCACTCAAAGAATGGCAGAATGGAACCCAGATAGCGTGTCTTAATTGGCAACATTACGATGAGGAAATGCAACTTAACGAAGGACTGTTTGCAGGCACTATGGGTTATGTCGTTAAGCCGTCACAGGAACTGACGCAAGGCTCGCGGAACATACATTTCACTGGAGAAATCATAGGAGTTAGTTCCTGTAGGTTTCTCCCTCCTTGGATTGGGAGGGTTCTAATACACCTTTCCTTAACTCAGTACCTCTACCAGAGCGCCACGAAACCTTTTCGGCATACATCTCTGTTGAGTTACTCCAGGTAACAGGCCAACAGAGCTGGCGCACAGCTAAGGTGGAGTCCAGCGGTGTCGGGGGCGTGATAGATTTTACATGGAGAGAAAGCTTCGAATGGCAATTCAGCGCGGATGAATTTACATTCCTGAGGTTGGTTTTTGCGTGTAAACCGCTCCTTGCTCATCCTCACCATTCCTTAAAGATTACGGGTCTACCGGTCTGATGAATTTGGGCCGCACGAGTGTCTTGCGATCTTTTGTGGTCGGATCAGTCAGCTCCAACCAGGATGGAAGATAATACGACTATTGAATACGAAGGGTAAACACGTGGGTGCAACTGTGTTATGCCGCTTCGCAGTAACCGGTCCTGGGGCCTTAGAGGCCTGAGGGACTATGATGGAGAATATTCATATCGATCTGAGCATACAGTACGGAATATACAACACATGTAAAGTATGGGTATGGGAGAACTTAAGATTCATCAATTGATACCTGAGAGGTTACCCCCAGCGGCTCTCTCGATCGCCTTTTGAATGCTCTCCAGTTTCTTCTCTGCAGCATTTCCCCTGTCTCGGCCTCTTCCCTGTCTACTTGTGCCAGCTTCTTGTTCTTCGTCATCATCCGTAACCACCTCTCTCGAGCGCTCGACCATGAACTCTGCCATGAAGTTTGTGACGGCTTGTTCACCAACTTCACCGTGCGCACGGTTACCCCAGCGCCATTCATATGCTTGATTCTCCTCAGCCGAAGCCTGGGTCGCTGCTGGAGCACGTCCCCGCTTCCCACCAGCGACCTTGTTATCACCGGGACGGATACAATCAAGGTAACCCTGACGCATGAGATGATTAAGGAAGGCATCAATGGGCATGGCTTTGTGCGCTGCTTGCGTGTTCACGGGTACGACAGCGTTTGAAGGCAATCGCAATCTCTTGAGGTTAGCCTTGAGGTCCACTGTCACCGAGCATCAGTATCTACCAACCCCGACCAAAGTGCTCATTCACGAACCGTCTGACATCGTCTTTCCATTGACCAAAATCAACGCGAGAACAACGTACAAGATGCCCAGAGAGGCTAGCTGGTCACAGGTACTCCACGAAATAATACTCCCATAGTGTCGAGGAAGTTCCTCCTCGACCTCCTCGTCGGGTCCAGCATCGTTCATTTGTTCTTCGAACAGTCGTTCATCGGTAATAGCCGCTTGTTCGATGATCACGGGATCAAGAACGGATCGCAGTATGTATGTTCTTGACCCAGCTGCTGCAGCTATTCGTAGCGAGTAGTTAGTGTGGACGGCATAGGTATTAGTGACTCGTAGGGGCGGAATAGAAGCGTATTATACACCCTAAATGGGTTCGGGGAACATACGACCGAGTGCATGATTAATGGCAAAGGAGGGCAGCAAAATTCCGGCCACTCTGACTACGTTCACAACGAAAGAGGGCACTTACCCCTTTTCTTCACACCAGTGGCATTGTGGGCTTCTTCATTCCCATCTTCGTCACGATGATTCCGTGACTGAAGTTCCACAAGTTCCATTCCAAATGTCTTGCGTAAGAGTTTTTGTGCCTTCTCCAAAACGGCTTTGAATTGCCGCGTATTGGACCCGAGAACTATGAAGCCCATTGAACATTGTAAAGAGACACCGAAAGAAAGAAAGAAAGAAAGAAAGAAAGCACCTTTCTTGTTGATGTCTTCCCTACGCAATGGGACGCGTTTTTGCTCCATGAAGAGTGCGAGCCTGGCTAAATCGCTAGCTTTCCTATCCAGCTCCTGAGATACGATGGGCCTTCGGCGATCAAGGACGGAAACGGTCTGTGGAAGAACATACTGAATCCCCATTCGCTTGGCCATCGTCGACATCCACCCCGATATTCTCATCTCCAGCCCCTGGTTCTTCCTCCTCTTCCTCGTCATCACGGGGTTGGGCTCTGCGGCCTCTTCGGGTTTTCTGTGAATGGTACTGAGATGACTGTGGGTCTCTTTGTGACCTGTGTGATTGACTAGGACCTGCACGCGTCATTATTATGATTGCTCGGTCAGTAGGGCTCTAAACGCGCAACATGAATCACGGTGTTACGCGTGACGTGACAGAGCGTGTCATGCGGGTCCCCCTGAGTCCCCCGGCAGAAACTTGTTGACCGTCGGGGTTGTTTTCTCCCGTTAGCCGCTGGTCGTCTCCACTGACGTCAGTCACAGGTTTGCTGATATGATGCAGGCATCTGTTTCTGGTACCTCATCGCTGATATTCAAAGATGTCGATAATTACCATGCAGGTTTCCTCGTTATATTGTCGTTCACGGGCTTCTAACCCTATGTTATGGCAGGCGAGGACTACACGTAGGTTGGGTCACCATCATGCTGGCCCTCCTCGCGTCAATGGGTGGATTTATTTTCGGGGTGAGTCAAACACTTCCAACTTCATCGAGAGCGATTCCGTAACAGAGGGTGTGCGACCTGGACAGTACGACACCGGGCAAATATCAGACATTGTTCTTATGAAAGATTTCCTCCTTCGCTTTGCAACATGTACGACGCCAGACGATTGCGCATTTTCTGATGTAAGGGAAGGTTTGATTGTCAGCCTTCTTTCCATTGGAACGCTTGTGGGTGCCCTCATGGGAGCCCCGTGGGTCTTAAAATCACATCAACCAGTCCTTCACTAACACTGACTTCGATTTGGCAGCATTGCGGATTGGCTTGGTCGTCGCTATGCAATGACGACGGAATGTGGAATCTTTATCATTGGTGTAATCGTTCAAATCACCTCCACCCACGTCTGGCAACAGTTTGCTGTAGGGCGGTTCATCAGTGGATTAGGCGTTGGCGCACTCAGCGCCGCCGTTCCCATGGTTTGTTGTCCTTCATGGGTGTGCGAGGTACTATCGACACTGACTATTTCCACAGTACCAAGCTGAAACAGCTCCCCCACAAATTCGCGGTACCTTAACGTATGTAATGTTCATGGTTCGCTGGAGTGGAGGACTCATGACTGTCTAGGGCCACTTACCAGCTTTTCATTACCTTTGGGATTTTGGTTGCATGTACGCACTTTGATATCCTGGCGCAGGCTTTTGACTTTTATGCGCTCGAACAGACTGCATTTCAATTGGTGCAAGGTCAATTGCCCAATCTGGTTCTTGGAGAACTGTCGTAGGCATTGGTATCTTATGGGCCCTGATCCTCGGTATCGGCATATTATTCATGCCAGAAAGTCCAAGGAAAGTCCTATGGCAATGCGACATGTCCTGCTGAATCCAGTCATATCTTGCAGATGGCTCGCAGCTCACGGACGCATGGAAGAAGCGCAAGCATCCCTTGCCGTTACTCGTGGTATCCCTGCTAGCGAAGCATATAAACACCATTTCCTTCGTCGCGAGGCCGAAGGGATCAAGCAAAACGTCGAATATGAAAAGCACACGAAAGGTGGCTGGGTGGATTGTTTCAAACCCAAGGACAAAATTTTGTATCGCACTCTGCTTGGAATGAGCTTGCAGAGCCTTCAACAACTTACAGGGGCAAACTACTTTTTCTACTATGGAGCTACGGTCTTTCTATCCGTCGGCCTTTCCGACCCGTACGTCACGCAGATTATATTGGGGACTGTTAATTTCGTCTGCACCTTCGGCGGTATGTATGTAATGGAAAGGGTGCGTCATCGTCCATTGGCATCCCCTTCACCCCTTTTCGAATCTCTTACATTTAGTTCGGACGACGACGGCCCCTCATATGTGGAGGCGTGTGGCAATCTGCATGGCTGTTCGTATTTGCCTCTGCAGGCACAGCTGTCGACCCAGTCACGCATGTTGGCATTGGAAAGCGTAAGGCCCATCTTTTTTTAAATTCCCAAACTACCTCAACCTCACCCCCACTGTCTGCAGTTATGATCGTGGCCGCTTGCCTGTTCATCTTGGGTTACGCGATGACCTGGGGACCGTAAGTACACTTTCCTGTACTACACGTATTTCTTGGCATCCATGACTTGTAGTGGCGTTTGGATATTGATTGGCGAGACGTTTCCTACCCGGACGCGCGCAAAACAGGCCAGTTTGTCTACAGCAGGGAATTGGATGTGGAACTTCTTGATCGCCTTCTTCACACCGTTCATCGGGAGCGCCATTGGTTTCAAGTATGGCTATGTGTTCGCAAGTGCGATATCTCTTCATTTGATACAGGTCATTTTTACTGAGCAAGTACTTTTAGGTTGCAACCTCCTCGGGGCCGTTGTCGTGTACTTCTTCCTCTATGAATCTTCTGATTTGACATTGGAAGAAGTCAACATGGTCCGTTGTCGTTTGACTTGGATGCCAGGTTTAAGACTTGATTGGGCACGCAGATGTATACCGACCCCACCTGCAAGCCGTGGGCGTCACGCCAATGGGCACCATCAGGTTACTCGTCGCGGCGGGATCTGATTGAAAAGGACAGAAGCGACGATTCAAACAACATTGAGGATGCTCAGGTGCAGAATATCACGGACGGAGCTGTTTGAAAATCTTGTGTACAGGATGAGATCTCCCCTTCCGACAACACTCTAGTCTAGTAGACTGTATCTTATCTAGGACGACCCCCAAAAAAATTATTCGGATACCGGGAGTCGAACCCGGAGCTGCTGTGCTCAACCTCCCGAAGCACGTTGAAAGACAGCCATGTTAGCCGCTACACCATATCCGATTCATGGTTAGCTGACATCACAGACCCTCTTAACACTGAAACGGGTCCCCCACCCAATAAATCAGGAGATCCGGCACGCTATCCATGTTTGACCTAATACAACACAACAAGTAGTAGCATACAAAAGTTTCAGTACACGTCATACATCTTATCATACATGCCAAATCATATAGAGTATCCACAATCACCGTAATAGTGTTTCAAGCAAATGCCAAGGCAGACCATGTCACTACAGCACCTACCGCCATGGCTGCAGCAGTCTGTGCCACCGCCCCCATTGCCATCCGGACACGTTTGGGCTGCCTGAATGAATCAAAGCATATTTGGGCCATGGGAGCATCCGTATTTGTCACAACGTCGTCCGTGTCCATTTTCTTCTCATGCTCGCCCGCATCCTCGTCCTCGACCCGTTTACGTTTCAGTGACTTGACGACCTGTCGTGCCACATAGCTAATGAGTGGACAAATTCTAGACCAGATAGTGAAAGCCATACCTCGACTTCAGTAGCTATTTCCTTCAACGCTTCCGTGCGAACCGCGTCGATCACCATCATCTTCTCTTCTATACGCTTTTCCGCGTCTTCCCGCAACGTCTTCATCTCTGTGGGGGATGTCAGCCCTCAATACAACATGCCAAAAACGGCAGACAAACCAGTCACAAGAGAACCCAGCGCTTCAGCGCACGCCTTGAGATCACTCGTAGGGAATTCGGTGGGCTTTGGTTCTGGGTCGTCCAATCTATTTTTCAATGCATTTACTTGGGTTTGAAGGGTAGACAGCGACGCAATGTTGCGTTCCGCAAGGTTGAGGCGACAGAAGAGACGGTCCGACTCTGGCTCAAGCATGTCTACGTGGGTCTGAATGTCCATAACATCTTCTTCAGTAAAAGACTGTCGGCTTCTCAAATCGGAAATCGTTCCCTGCATTGCAGAAACCCGATCCTATAAGTGGTACAGTCAGCGACGTTGCTCACAACAGCAAGCGTGCTTTTACCTCGATGATCTTGATAGATGCTCTTAGTTCGTTGCTGAGCCTCTCGGTTGTGGAACTCGTTCCGGGAAAACCAGATGGGGCAGGATGACAAGCATTGAATGGAGAAGTAAGGTGTCTCCCGAAAGGCGGTCCAACTGGAAAATATGTTGGTGGCGGGATATCCATGAAGTGGCAGGCATGAATTTCCGGGAACGAATCAGGCTCTCTTTCTTGGGTAGTGGCAGTTACAGTGCCTGTCTCTGCAGGCTCGGCAGGCGGAGGAGTTCCTACTGCTACATTATCGCTATCGTCCTTCTCCTTCTCGACGTCGTCTTCTGCCGGAGGATGTGGTGATTCAGAACGAGATGACGGCCATGCACCAACAACTGGGGGCTCTAGAGGACGGGCTTCAGTTTCAGAGGTGGCCGACGGTGACGGTGTGGACATCTCCATTGGCGAATGCGATCGAGAATTCGAAACGGTGTCGACAACCACAATTGGTGGAGATGGTGTTCTAAGGTCCTCCGGCGAAGGGGAGGGTGTCACTAAAAACTCTGCTAAAGAAGGGAAAGTATCCTTGACAGGAGACGAATTTGATCCTTCGTTGGACCTGCAAATGTTGTGAATAAAGTACTTGAACGCAGGGATCTTGATATGCAGGGAATGCGTCCGGCTGGGTGAGGGAACGGAAACCTCTTCTATGTCAGAGTCACGATCATCGGACACTGAAGAAGATCCGTCGGAGTATGCGCAGAGGGAGGGCGATGAATATGGCGACGGGGTGTCGGGGTGCAACAGAGGGTGAAACAATCCGTAGCGGCCCGAGTTACTCCTAGTACGGGATATCAAGTCGGCCAAGGAGTTGATAGGGGTCAAGGAGGGGCCAACTTGTGAGGCAATAAGCGACGGCTTCTCCTTCACTAGCTCTACCCTTGCAGTAACTGGAGGGACCATACTCGAACCGGATCCTACAGCTTTGCCGAAGGTAATGATATCGCCATCTGCTAGGGGGGTTTCGATTTCAGCCTTGAGGGTTCTTGGAGCCCCTTCGCCCCTCAAAAGATGGGTTCCATGCCGCGAGTGGAGATCGATGATAGAAACCTATTGATCGCAGTGAGGATACTGTGGCGGCGCTGACGATGCAGAGCTATTACCTCGTTATCGGAAAACACCAACTTTGCATGCTTAGCGCTAACCACCTGGCACGCAAAGACTGCATTTTGATCATCATTTTCCTTTCTCATCGCTTTCTCTCCAGAGGCCGATTTGCGACCGATGTTGACGTAGCTTGACCGGGAGCGATGGAATGTAATTTCGTGAGCAGGTCTGTCGCCACACTTCTCAACATGCAGGGTTACTCCTATCCAGTAGGCGGGCATGAGAAGCGCCCGGGGGGAAGGGCAAGTACAGACTTGCCTGCGACGACACTTGGTGCCTCTGGTGCCTCGAGGAGGTCAGAAAGGGGCTTCGGTTGGGCCAGCTTAGTGCCCAAGTACTGGATCTCTTCTTCCATGATGCCAACTCCAACCCTCTATCAGTAAATATGGAGCGGATAGCACGAAAGGGGGACTGCTTTGTAGGTGAGGGTAGGGATGAGAGTTGGGGCGAGTCACTCTGGCTGTGACTGGCAATGGGCTTTTATCACAAGTAACGCCTTATGCATGTGGACCGTCACCTGACTTGGCTCCCCAAAAAAGCGGTGTTCCCTCCTCAACGACCCGACTGCACAAAGGGTACATACTAGAAACATTAGAGATATCGTAACACCAGTCGCTGTAGTGGCATGTGAATGCAGAAGATCAGGGGCATGGGTAAAAGGGGCAAAAGACGGAATGCACGGGTAAGAAACAATCTGCAACGGTGGTATCTATTGAACAACACAAAACATCTAGTGACCTTCACTTAGAGTAGTCGGCAAACCAGGGATGCGAGAGTGCGCGCTTCGCTAAACTCAGCATCAGTACCAGAAAGCACCCACCCAAAAGAAATATTACCAGAGATGCGCTTGGCAGTATCATATATTAGCGTTCGCTATCGTTTTCTCATAATGAGTGAACCGCACACAGGCTTAAGCTTTCCACTCACCGATAGCAGATCAATGCCCATATCGTCAAGGTTCGGTACCACACTACGCAGGTCTTGCCGCGACCATTGGGGGAACGTCTCTTTGTAGTCAGGAAGCTGGCTGACACCGGGCCAAACCTGTTCGTTCGGCGTCCCAAGGATCCTGCGAAATATTCAGCAACCATCCTACAGGGAAGGGAAAGTTACCGACCTGAAGATTTTGAAAATTTGGTCAATTTCCGAATCACCGGGAAAGAGTGGGTTCCCCTTCATCACCATCTCAGCGAATATACATCCGACTGACCACATGTCAATGGCAGTGGAGTAGTGTCGTGATCCTAGTAAAACTTCAGGCGCACGGTACCAGAGGGTAACAACCTAGGCGGGTCCAGGCAATGAGAACACAGCCTGCGCGAATACAGTAATGATCATGCCTCATGCGTGTACGTCCTCATCGGGATGCCAAAAGCCCTGGCCAGACCGAAGTCTGCGAGCTTGAGATTATTGCGCTTGTCGATAAGTAGATTTTGAGGTTTGAGGTCCCTGTGGAGAATGCGATGGGAGTGGCAGTAGAGGAGCCCAGAACTGAGCTGGTGCGTGAATTTCTGAAAGATGTCAGAGACTTCGTTTAACATCCTGCCGGATAAAAAAGGCTTAATTGCGTGACGAAAGATGCCCCCTTGCATGCGCTCTGTTTCGTGGACCCGGACATCCATCGACACGTCTGAACGTAAGATAACTCGACGCTGCCTACCACCAGACTAATTGGCGCCCACGCATGAAACAGTCGACACGCGTCATCCTTGCGCCAGCCATGGCACAACTACATGGCACGAGGGCCACCGTCTGACGTTTCACCGCAACGAGAAGCGCAGCTCACCTTTATGATATCGGCGGACATGGGAGTGCCACTGGCGTTTGCATGTTCCATATACCGCTTGAGGTCTACGTCGAGGAACTCGAACACGAGGTACAGCTTTTGATCCGCGTGCACAATGTCCAGTAACCTGGCAGCATATAAGTATGCATGGTAAGTAATCCATATACGAGAAGGCGGGGGGCGTGTTGGACGCACCGGACGATGTTGTCGTCCTTCAGTTCTTTGAGTAAACTAATTTCACGAATAGCAGTGCTAGGGACGCCTTCATCCTCAGCTTCCAACCTGATCTTCTTGAGAGCTACTATCTGATTGGTAGTGAGATCGCGTGCTTTGTAGACAACGCCATAGGTTCCTGTGAGTGCGCCAGACCGCGAAGGTAACCAGAACGCAACATCAAATCAGCGGGTGATATGATGCGGAACTGAACGGACACACCCTCCCCTACACCGTTCCACACGTGTTGGTGATGAAATGCTGAGCCAGACCCGGAGTGAAGTTACGCACCAACTTTTTCTATCTTTGCGTAACTGACATAAAGAAATGCGATCAGCTCACGAAGACATCTTAACGCGCGCAAATGCAGCCGCCTACCGATCCATGTGATCAAACTCAGGTACTGGTGAATTAACGTAGAAAGGCCCTTGGTATATCGGAGGGTATGGATTGTGCGAGACAATGGATCCAGCGACGTGAAAGGGTATATCTAACGGTGTGACCAGATGGTGGTGGAGGGGGAAAGGTATAAGACAATTCGTTAACTATTTGAAAGCTGTCATTATTATGGGCGGTGCAATGTGCCGCAGTGGTCCCGGCGCTTTCCCCCCGCCGAAGAGAAAAGGCATTCACAGTAACCTAATGTTTGTGGGTCGGATGAGAATTTGGTCGTGCCCCACCGCCATATCCTAACGAACTAACGTGTAATCTTATCCAATCTGCCACTGCTCGGCAAAAAAAGCACCGCCACTTCTCGGTCAACACCAGTTATCACAGTCAATCAGTAAAGAGCTCTCGTTGGAAGATATGTGCTACATGCTTATAGGTTTGGAAGCATTTTCGTGCACTTTGCAGAACGAGTTACTTTTCAT